ATTGTATTTTATTTTAAGGGAATTTTTAAGTACAATAAAATTAAAGTTATTAAATCAAAACAATCTATAGCATTAACAATCAACGTCTTCCCCCCCCCAACTCAGAGGGCAGTGGTAAAGTTATCAAACGTTGACCGGTCAGCGGCCTTACAGGGTTGGGAAACACTGCGTGATCACCCTAATTAATCTGCACATTATATAGATCATCGGTTCTCAATTTTTTTCGACTGTGTAATCGTAAAGGATGGACGGTATTGAAACGATACGGCGAGAATTCATTAGCAGCTGTAAATATACTAACCAAAAAAAAAATAAGACTATTAATTAGTTTGGAAATAATGAAATGAAAGAAATTTTAATATTATAAATGTCTTATTCTTGAATTTAGCTATTCTATTTTGAATTGGAAAGATTTTTCTTTCTATAAATGCATATCTTTTCTATAATTTATTCAATAGATTACCAAAGTTTTTTTTTTAAAAATTGCTATTTTTAATTGACATTTTGCGACCGAAATATTAAATAAATAATGGATAATTGATTAGACATAAATTGTATACTTATTACTGGTTAGAAAAAAATCCTAAATTTCGGATCCTATGTAATCCTTTCACGGAACACCTTTTGGGAATCGCTGATCTAGATAATTTGCAGAATAACTGCTTTTTGCGCAAAGTGGGAACACATAAATTTTTATATTCTTACTTATTATTGCATTAAAGAAAATTTTAATTGATTACATACATTCTTATTTCAGTTATTTGGTCTTATATTAACTGAAATTGCTTCCCGCCTGCTGGATGCTTGGGGACAGAGATCATCAAATATTGCCATTGCTGTATTCCTATTTATGAGTTCATTAATAACGAGTAGGTACTTTATTTTTACCTTCTTGTAAAACAATTTTTGTGTAATTTAAATTTACGAATTTCTGGATTTTCTAACATCAGTCATCACTTTTTAATGTTAGTACACTGTAAAAAAATCATCATAAAATTATGATTAAAAGTCCTAAATGCCAATACTTTTTACCGTAAAATCTTACAGTACAATCTTTGTCTTAATTCTTACAGTATTCACTTAATTAGAGTGATTCAGCAAATATTACTGTAAAAAGTACTTAAAGTATGGGTTTTTTTTAAAGAAAACTTTACGGTAAAAATTTATTTCACGATAAAAAGTACTGGCACTGTGAGAGCTGGATAATTTATACCGAAATTTTGTGAAGAATTTTTTACAAAAAGTTTTGTATTCTTGCAATTGTTAAATTAATATAGTCGTAAACAGTAAACGTAAATAAATATCGTTGTTTTGAATAGTAATAGTTAGATAAATTTTGAATTGATAGTATGAAACGCATTATATAGAGATATATTTCGTATGCTATTGAATTTTGAAATGATAATTGTTCAATGTAATTTTTTTTTTTATTTTAGTTTTCATCTCATCAGAATATAAAAGAAATAAGCGTCCCATCAAAGATTCTTTGAAACATGAACAAGAAAAGACTTATCATTGAACATTTAGAACAAGATTCTGTAACTTACGACTATTTCAATTTAAATATTGAATTTGTTTGGTTCAAATATTCACTATTAAGTTATGCTGATTTTATCCCTCATTTATTGTAAATAAAACATGCTTAATAATCTAATATACTGTCATTGAAATCGTATTTATTTATATAATAAATAAAATATCATTCAATAACTTGTATTTATTTATATAATAAATAATGAGGATTTTTATACGAAAAATGACTCTTTATTGGTGTTCTTATACTAGGGCAATGAAATAAGGTACCTGTTCTTATACTAGGGCAATGAAATAAGGTACCTTATTATTATTTCTATTATAATTTAGAAAGATAAAAAAAATGTATTTATTTTTTACAATATGCAATAATAAGCTAGTTTCTAAATTTTTACATAATTATCATTCGGTCGAAGTAATTTTATAGACTCTGTGACAGTTAGTGTATGCCCGTGTCGTGCTAGCTCCCCGCCATATTCTTAAACGAGAATTGAACTTATTTTCCTCTTCACCTGGTCACCTGAGCTAAATCACATTTCTGTTAAAGCCAATTTAAAGAAAGATCACTAGGTTTTCTGATCGAACTATTGGGTGGGTTGGGGAAATATCTGATTGAAATCGCAGCAGGAGAACGACTTCTTGACGTACACAGTAGAAACTTTTGGATAAAACCACGATATAAAGTACCAGCTCCTTAGGTGCATCATCCGNGTCAGCACTGTGGTCGGTGCGATCCGGATGCTGATTCGCATCGACCAGCCATCGCCGGGAATCGAACTCGGTTTACTTCATTAGAAGGCGAATGCTCTATCCCCTGAGCCATCTCGGCTCACGGTAATTATTATTGTAAAAATTAAGGTGCGTCAAATTTTTATTCCGTAACATGTACCGATTAAAAGTACAGGAACACTGAGTGCAGGTACTTTTTACAGCAATTTATTCCGGGAAATTTTTAGTGTAAGCGAGTAGTTGTGATTGTGCTTCAACCACTCCTAATCAAGCATGCTAACTGAAGAATGCGTTGGACAGCAGTTACGTCATGGACATGCAAAAACTCCCGCTACAAAAATGCATTGACTAAAATGGCAATCATGCAGAAAAATAGACAAAAGTGCTACCCTTTATCTGTTGTAAATCTTATAGATAATGAACCGTTTTTTGAATTTCTAGATATCTCATTATTTAAATTGAACTCCTAATATCCTCAGTGAAATTAAATAGTTGGAAAAAAATTATGTTGAATTCCAAGCGTAACAGAGGGGAAATTACAAAAGTATTTTGTTCTAAAAGATATATTAAATATTTTTGAAAACAAAATTCTACTAGAATATGCTACTTTAGGGTGCAATGCTTAATTAATTGGCATAAAATAATAAAAGAGCCTCATAATTAAATTGCAAGTTATTTAAAAGTACTTGTGACAAAGGGGACAAATGAAATCCATCATTTTTGACATGCACTTTTATTTCTGTGATTTGAACCATCCTAAACATTATGTGCAATATTTTTTTGAACTATCATATTTCAAGGTAAAATGAATTATTATAAGACTTTTAAAATTCCAACCCCCCTTTTATAAGTACAAATAATACACCGTAACAGAGAGGACATGGAATGTAACAGAGGGGACGTCTTACGAATTTGACAAAAAGTTGAAGGGAAATATCACTGTTAAAAGTGACTCTTCTGGTACTTAAAGTTGAAGTTAGCAGCACTGCTATTATTGAAACCCGTGCTACATCTCTGTAGTTATATTTTATTTTACCTGACCCTGTTTTAAAAAAACAAGTGCATTGTTTGTTTCTTTCTCAATTTTAGTTATTTGGGCAACAAAATTAGCTATCCAATTTTTTCCTAGAACTTTTTATGCTTGCAAAATTATCTATAGCAACATCAAAAGAATCCCAGTGTTTTAAAGGGTGAATGGTGTACATTAAATATGTCAGGTCCCAAAGTCCTCCATGTTCTCAAAACAAATCAATACCTCTGAGGGTACTGATCGAGGAGTTTCCATGTCTTTTGGATTGGGTTCAAAATTACAAGGCTACGGAGTTGAACATTGGGTCGGCTGTTCAACGACATTCATTGGGTCACAAATTTGGGTCGGCTGTTCAACGACGGTTATAAAAAGTCAATTGATCAATTGTCGCAAGTCGTTATATTTAGTAATTATATATAATTATTAGGCAAACAACTATGATTTTAATAGAAAATTCACATTTTCGTCAATTGAATATATATATTTCATATGGTGTTTTACCTACGCATAAAATATTTACAGGTCGTAGTACAGCAAAACTTAGATTTACCGATTTTTATGTTCGGATGCATCTGCTTTGATACTTGATATGCTTCCATCATGATGCACATTTGACTTTGTGGATTTTCTGTCCATTTTCTTTAACAATCACGTACTCAGCTCCACCAGGAGTCTGGTAAGAAAGTTTAACAGGTGATAAGACATTTATTACAAGTTTTTTTTTGTTTCATCAGAAACTTCGTTACTAGGCTATTTCTTTTGTTTTGGTAACAAGGTTACAGGATATGCATAGAACGGTTCAACGTTTTCTTGGAGATACAGGTAATGCACTGTTTGCTTTTTTAATTTTCACCAATGCCTAAGGAATATTATAAAGAGAATATCCTTCCTGAATTTGCACTGCCTGTATCAGTGCCTTTTTATTTTTCCTTTGTCTTCTTTTTTATTCAATTTATCTATTTCTCTGTTAAATTTTTTTTCCCAAAATATTTCTGTTATTATAAACTTTCGTTTTTATTCTTTATCTTTCTTCTTACAGATATCTTTTTTTTCTGGAACATTCCAGCTCTATATTCTTTCTGCTGTTGTTTTCTTCACATTGATTACTCACTTAAAAAACTTCTAACTATAAACTAAACAGACTATTAAAAAAAATGGCACAGCTTTGTACAAAAAGTGTGCTCTAATAGTGGAGGAACTGGTTTAAACCAGTTGAATCAGGATGCATTAGCACTTGTATACATTCCTACAGTTTCTTTCTA